TACTAAATTTGGTTATTAAGTCTAGAAGACTTTTGATATAGTTCTTGGCATCTTCTATATAGATAAATCAAATCATCTGCAAATAATGACAATTTGACTTTTTTTTATATCTTTATTCCTTTTATTTCTTTTTCTTATCTAATTACTGTGTCTCATGTTTCCAAAACTATATAGAACAGGAGTGGTGATAATGGATATGCTTGTCTCGTTCTTGATTTTAGTATGAAGGATATTGTAGGGTTTTTATCATAAATGCATGTTGGATTTTGTTGAACGCTTTTTTGCATCTATTGAGATGATCATATGGCTTTTGTCTTTGTCTCTGTTAATATAGTGTATCAAAGGATATGAGTCTCTAGTGACTCTGGGGCAATCTCATTTTCATTACACCAGAAAAGATAACTGATAAGATCAATCGCAACACTAGCCCAAGTGATACAATCAACAACAACAATAGAATTAAGCACAGCTTGGAAAATGACAATTTGTGGTTGTTATTAATCTATTACCTTTAATCATATGAATAAAATGAAATTGAAGATTAGCCAAAAATATGTTTATAATGAATAACCTGATCAATATAGTAACTTTACCCTTTGGGATGGGGACTTAGAAGAAGCAAGGACCTCTTACTAATATTCATTTCTATTCTAGCTCAGGGCAGTGGCCTTTAGAGTCCCTGTTCCTCTGCAGTGTAGATGAGGAACAGGTGTAGCCAGGAAGCCAGAGGCCAGAGTGTAAGCGGTTAGGTTGAGTTGCTAGAAGCTCTCTGTGGCTCCAGTCCTCATAGGTCTGCTGTTTGGCCAAGAGGCCTGGATGGAAGAGGGGTCTGCACCTATGACTTCATGAAGCTCCTGTCCTCACTGGTCTGCTTTTGCTGCCAGCTCTGGGAGTAGAGGTGATTGAGTATCAGATTTTTCCTTCTTGTTGCCCTTTGGGGTTGCCTGAAGTTATCTGGAAGTCTGGTTTTGAGACTAGTTTATGTGTCTTCTCATTTCAACAGATGCAGCCTGTCTGAATCGCCTGAATATTGGGATGTTTTGAAATATTCTTCACCAAATTCATTAGTTTGTTGCCCTTAAAGTCAGTATCTTTCAAAGTTTCAGGGCATTCACAAAAGGTACACGAATTATTTATCCGAATGAAACATGCATGGCTTCTCTTATGGTTTTCATTGAGATGTTCTCGCCAAAGCCTTATGTGCTCATAGGTGGTTCTTTTCAAAGGTTGCTGAATTTAGGGTGTGTGATACTGTGATTAAGGGTACATGGCACTCAATTAGTCCACTGATTTGAATTAGCGTAGTTCTGGGTGTGAGTGAATAGATTTACTGAGGACAAAAGCCTCACCCTGGGTGTGAGAGGCACTATCCAAAAGGCTTGTGGTTTGGATGTGATAAAAGGAACAGAAAGAAGTCAATCCCTCTCTGCCATGACATCCTGACTGGAAGCCAACTGGATATGGACTGAAGCCTCTGAAAATTGTAACTCAGAATAATCCTTTTCTTTTTAAATTGTGGGTGTTGTGTACTGTGTCTCAAAAACAAAAGAAATATTTAAGACAGGCTCTAATCTAGTTGCCGATAAAATCCTTATTCCCAACTGAAACCTCATAAACCTTTATTGTGTGCATTCCTATTAGCATTTTTCTCTGCTGAGCTCCAAGCAGTTACCTGCCAAGCTTGGGTTGAAGCTGCTAAATCTTCTCTACCTTGTAGCTTTAAACTTTTCCATACTCTTCATGTAAACTAATTCCAGAAGCTTCTAAAGCACATTGTCAGATACAGTCATACCAACAACCCCACTCCTGCACCAATTTTCTGTTTTACTTATCTTTCTTTTGAGTGAGACACAGTACCCAACAATCACAATTTAAAGGGAGAGAAGCTTATCTTGACTCACAGTTTCACTGGGTTCATATCATGGTGAGCTATCTCCAAGTCAAAATCAGCACGACAGAACAGTATGGCAGAGAAAACCTGCTCACCACATAGTAATCAGAAAGCAGAGATATAAAAAGAGAGCCAGGAATGAAAATATATTCTTTCAAGTTAAGCTCCCCAGTGACCTGCACCTTCTACCCAAGCCCTACTCCAAACATAAGACTCTTAGGGGATATTTTGGATCTGTACTGTAATGCTTCTATTTTTTTCATTTGTTTGATGGGTATTTAAGCCACAGACTCATGCAAGTTAAACATGTATTCTACCACAGAACTATACCATCATCCCTATTTGGAGTTTCACTATTTCTATATCCTCATTATAATTCGACATCAAGGTTTTCATTTATAAAATATAAAAAATAGCCTTTAAAAGAATGTGGGCTACAAATCTTCCATAAAATACAACAGAGGATATCCTTTTTCCCTTACTAACACAAAAATTTGTTGATTTTTCACAGCCAAACCTACAGTAACTTTTCCTAGCAAAGACTGAAAATTAATGGAAATTTAAATATTAATGACTATCAATAATATTATGATACCTCCTATGACAACATGAAAAGATCATCCTTTCATGGGTCATCATCTTGAGTCAAGGAACTATTTTATAAACACATTGATGTGGTTTGGATGTGTTTCCCAAAGTTTTCTGTTTTATAAACTTTATTTCCAATGCAA